TCCATAAGGTTTTCCATATACATACCTACCCTGTGTCCAAGATAAGGATGTCTATCATGGGGATCTCCGAAACCATAGAAGATACGACGATTGTCACATATTTAGAGAAGAGATGCGCAGATAGTTCCGAAAATATGCCAGATATGCCGATAGCTATTCTCGCATTGTCTGTAACGATTCAAATAACACCACGAAAAAATAAAAACTCAATCGGCAAATTTTTTATGGCATATCTTCGGAAGTACCTCTGCATAATCCGAATTTTTTGGTTTTCTTAAAAGCATGATAATAACTGTTTAATTGCGCAACTTTTCCTTAATTTACCATCGTTGTATCTTCTATGGTTTCAGTTCAGAGATCCCCATGATAGACATCCTTATCTTGTACACAGTGTACATTTAAAAAAATACATGAGTCCATATAAACCAAATATAAATTATAGATACCGAGATGCTATAAGAATATCATCCTATAACGTTACGTTAATAACTTTTTTGCGCGATCGGTCATTTCTGGCTATTTACCATGTGTGTTTCCATGACAGTACGTAGCATTTACCAGTTGCTATGATTACGACGACGCCAAAATTACTTACCGATCTAAAAACAGAACAGCAAAAATACTTACCGACGCCTTTTTAAAAATCAACAGTCTTACATTACATTTAATCTTTAATTATTGTTAGTGTACATTAAACGTACAATTTGTGCTGTTGTTTCCTATAGAAAGACGCTCATAAAGTCATAAAGGAAGTATTTGCTTAGTATTAATAGGCAGTAAGGCAGTCAATGCATGGATTCATTTGTGGTGTAAAGAAAAACGGCTTTCATTATAGATTGAGTTTAGTTCATGATTTTAAAGAAGACCTGTGTGTGGATTGCATCATAATTTCCGGTTTCCGTTTAATTATAGCGTGGAGTTTGAACGGCAAGCATAAATGAGTTTACTTTACCACTATATTCAAATAAACTTTAAAATCTCGATTTCAGCATGCATCCTGGGTTTACAGATTTTAATGTCCAACTTCTGTTAGTCAAAGTATCTAATTTAAACATTCTCCCTGGAAGAATTGCTCGTATTGTTTATTGTATAGGTAATTCACAGGATATGTACGTGGTAAATAATAAATTAAATATGAAATAAGTATAGGTACGTATCTTTTCGAGAAATAGGTATTGACCTATCGGTGAAATTTTATATTCAAATTCATACCTATTCATTATTCATTATTTTTTCATTTAAATTCAATTGCGAAACTTCTTAGAACGCGGTAGGTATAGTGTACATGATTCCATCACACAATTTTGGTACGTTATTTTGATCATCTCACTCTATTTCAATTTCATCATTAAAAACGGCGTCCATTTCGAAAACACTGATGGGGAACCTGTAGAAAAGCTACACAATTTAGAAATTCATCTGAAAAAAAATTGTAATGAACCCGAAAATTGTGAAGTGGTACGGTTTTTAAAAGCTTTCTTTCTCGACTTTGAATTTGGAATTCCGAGTTTAAAGTCAACATTATAAAATAAAATACTTATGGCGTTATGGCCCTCCTACGCCTTCGTAATATGCAGAAAGTACGTAATGTTGGAACTTGTTAACTTACCTACCTAAGTCAGATTGTCTCTGAATCGGCCGGAAGATGCTAGAAATCTTTGAATATAGTAAAATTAAAGGTAGAAACCGATTGCGACAGTGACGCTAGTGACTTCGTGCACGATTGTAATTTGAACCATTTGGGACCTAAAATGTTAGACAAGGATTATGACTCTTCTAATGACATACCGTTATCTGTACTATTTCATCATAAAAACGAAAACGGAAACAAAAAAACCAAACCGGAATACGAAATTAATGGAAGAAAGTTAGTCTAGAAACGGAATATGCGGAATTACTATTTTAAGTTGGGCACTTACAACTGAAGCACCATGACCATGAGCTCACTCCCACTTGTTCTTCACGACTAATGTGTATGATAATATTTAATATCATACGTGAAACAAACAAGCATGGATTACTTACAAAAAATATCAACTTAATTTTTATTCCTGTTGAAGGTTTTCTTTGGCGGCCTTTGTACTATCTTGGTAAGTACTCAAAATATCCCAATAAACGCATGTTTTTATTTCACAAAATGTGGAATCCGGTTGAACAAATTTTAAGAAATTTGATATACAGGGTGAACATTTTGTCAGGAACACTGGAATTATCTTTAAAACAATAACATTATACTTTAAGAAGCTTTTTATGGTATCCATAATCATAAAAAGTTTGCTACCATTCTACGTAATTTAAATTTGTGGCCAGTTGCGTACTTCTGCCTGGTCAAGGCGGGCTCATTTTTTTTAATGACAACTACATACTAGTTTTCATTACATAAGAATACAATTTTTTGGATATAACAGCAGAAAAAACCGTATTATATTACACAATCAAATTAAAGAGAAAAAATCAAAATAAGGAAAATAATTGTGTTATGTTTTTTATCTTGTCATATTTAAAAAAGGTTCATTTTTTAATAGTATTCAACGAAAAATAGTGCTCTCCATTAAAAAAGGGATCCTGTTAGTTCTATAGACGCACGCCACTGTAAATAATTTTTAAGCATAAGTATAAAACTTATAAATTTTGAATGATTTTTGATACAATAAATTGCTTTTGGCATAACTAACAAAAGAATAAGGTTTTTTCTCAACGCAAACTAGTGAACTTAAAAAATTAATTTGCAAAACTATTTTCCTTAAATTTCTCTCTTAAATTTGATGTGAGCTTCTTTCAGGGGTATCCCAGGGTTCTGTACTTGGACCGCTGTTGTTTATTATTTACACTTTTAATTTTGGAAAACGCTGAAATACACTAAATTTCACCAGTATGCCGATGACACGAAAATACAATTCGATAATAATAATAATTTATCTGCGGAGCATGGGCTGCAGATCAATCATTAAAAATATAACTTACTTGGCAAAACAATATTGCAAAACAGGAGATGTGTGAAAGTCAAAGATAATCAACTGTCAAACGTCGATTGTGTTAAAAGCCTGGGTTTATATATTGATTCGGGATTATTTTTCAAACTGCATATATCCTCTATCCCTCTATCAATTTCTTAATCAATTTTTAAATCCTTTCATAAAAAACTTCATTCATACTAATTTTTAGTATCAATTTTGTTACAGAATACGCTTCTTTTTTTCCTTTTTTCTTTATATTTTTTCTTCTTCTCTTTGAATAGAAATTTTTTATCATCACGTTATCGATTTCATCTTTCATCCATGAATAATGTATGTATTCGATCCAAATGTAAGTATACTTATTTGCACTCGTACGAGATAAATGGTTTTAATTATAATTATTTCATCATTTCAGAGCAGGTTTGTGTGCGAGTACGAATGTCGTCTCTGGCATGTGAACTAAAAAAGCGAAGCTTTTAGTTGCGTACAGTGTATATACCTATAGTAAAGAATATATTTTTACCTTAAAAATAATTGTACGTAGGTAATTAATAAATGGCATTATTATTATTATAAGTTTTTTTATGTCGCTATATCAAAAAAATGCACTCTTTAAAAATTTACAGATTTCGCAATCCATGCAACCATCGGAAACATTAGAAATAATAACTGTATAACGCTATATATAAAACACAAATAAGCCTTATTCACCCGGGATCACTTGCTTCACGCGCTCGAAAGCTCGCTCGTGCCGTAAACGTACACTTTCTGAATAATAAGCCTGATCATAACATGCTCGTAATCCTATTAAAGGAGATGTGCGAGAATTTTAGATTGGAATTAACAAAACAATTGCGCGCTATTAAGTAAGTACCGAATAAAAGTACCCGCGACTTTTCTTTAATCTGCCGATTGCGTTGCGGCCGAGTACGGTACAATCAACACTTGATGCGACACCACTGTCTTCTTTTCTGCTTGACGAAACTGGTAACTTCATACCCATACACAAAATATAAGCATTTCCAATGCTAAAATATTTAGCGAAAACTAGTAGTCATTACAAAAAAAATGCCTCCCTTCTCTATGCAACAGTACCTACGCCACTGCCCAGAAATTTAAAGTACCTACGTAGATTGGCAGCAAATTGTTTATAATTTTGGGTGCCCTAAAGTTTCTTGAAAAAAAGTCTTGGTTTGAAGATATATCCCGTGTTCCAGAGAAAATGTTCATTGTTCACTCGATCTATATAAACTATTCTTTGACAACTATTTCTCATCAATTTGCGCTTTCTCAAGGTTTAGCGGAAGATCTGTTTTGTGCTGCAGCATCCATTCAGGAAGGACCGTTGGGTAATTGCCCTTTACAAGAGATTTAGAGAGGCCCGATTACGTATCTAAATATAGATCGTCTTCGTCTTGCATAGATTGTAATGTAGGTAATTCACTCAAAACATGCTTTCAAAATTCAAAATGTTGTTTCTGTTTATATTACAGAAAATACAGTTTGAAATAGATACATCGCACGCACACCTTTGCATTTTAGTGGTAAATACTTCATGCAATAACGCAAGAAAGAAAGAAAAAAACGTCCTTTATCAAATAACGCCATCTTGCAATAATTTTATCGTTGCCTGGCGATGGAAAACACTAGTGCTTACCTATTGTACCTTCTAAATAATCACTAATCATTCGCAGTCACTATAATCAACTACTTATAATTAATATGTACCTAGTCAAAAACCCTTTAATGGCTTTATTTAGATACTTGACATAAAAAATTCAAAATATTTGCTAAAGAAATTCCAGATAATCTTATCTTTTTCCCAGGTGTTATTAAAAAAACCCATACCTACACTAATTATAGCTTTTCTCAAATTAAATTTAATGTTATTTTTAGTCCCTGGATTAATTTTGTGTGACGCAAGTAGGTGTCAACGTAACGTGTGTTACGCCACTGAGGTGAATAAATTCAATTTAAATAGGTGTTTCATTTACAACTTATTCTTTTGTTTAATGAACGATGTGAATTTACGACTAACGCACTTTTGCAATATGTGTGTGTGTACTTGGCTTTCTCTTGAAAGTTTAAAGCTTTGTCTTTCGTTGCAGTGCAATCACGATGATATAGATGTAGAATACTAGGATGAAGATTCCCACGGATAATAATTACAACAGTACATCTGCGTAGGAACAATAAAAAAATGTAATAATATTGTGAGACGATTATGGGAAGTGGTAGTGGGCTTTTCTCATTCATTCATTCATTGATGTAGACTGGAGAATGCGTAGTGTGCGCGCAATGATTTACTGGGCCACATGCAGTGTTGTACGCGTATAATGTCGTAAGGTTCATTCATAAATGTCTACGTTGTGTTGATATGTTGGAAGTTTATCAGTGGCTCACGTGTTACCCCCTGTTTTACTAAAAAAAAATGCGGTACACCTTTGATAATAACGAAGTGAATTGAAGGAAGTGGCCGACATTTCAATTCTCGCGTAGGCTTTCGGTGTAGCGTGCGGTGCGGTTCGAGGTGGCCGTTTCGGTGTACCTTCCGTCACTTACACACCAGCCCATTCATTTTTTCAGGATATGGAGGCAACATGGCGGACGAGACCTTTAAAGTTAGAACCGAAGAACGTTTAAAAATCAAAATCGGTAAGTTAAACTAACATTTTCGCTTGGTTTTTCCTCAAAATTACGTTCGCCTTATCAATTTTCTTATTTAAAATCGTTTACTTATGCAATCATGACTCATCTTGATCTGTGTCAGAGTCTTCATTTTTAAACTTGAAACTGCAGGTGTTAATATTTTCGTTAAGTACGACACGAGCGGACTGTCTCTGCTGTTAATACACGCTTTGCTTTAATCTTAGGAGAAGCGAAGAATCTGTTGTGTCGTAATCATGGGTCGACTCCGCACAGAGACGTATACTGCACGCTATCCCTGGACCAAGAGGAAATCTTTCGCACGTCCACCATCGAGAAAACATTAAGGTAAGCATTGGTAAAATACCAATTAAATTGAGGTTATGTTTTTGTAGCCCCTTCTTCGGCGAAGAATTTCAATTTGAAGTGCCTCGAAAATTTCGATATCTTTCTATTTATTTATATGATCGTGATCGTCCCTTAAAGCAGGACAAAGTCATCGGTAAAGTTGCAATTAAAAGGCAAGATTTAGCATCGTACAACAACAAGGATCATTGGTTTACGATTAAAGCGGTAGATGCGGATTCGGAGGTTCAGGGGAAGGCCAACATTGATATTAGGTTCGAGCCGGTAAATAACCGGAACAAACTAAGCTGCCAGAAGCGTCTCTTGGTACGGGTGGCCGAGTGTTCGGACTTGACGTTGAAGAATGGTTCGTGCGATCCGTTCGCCCTAGTGTGTGTGTTATACTCGAATGGGAAACGTATCTCGAAGCGGACTAAAGTGCGTAAAAAAACCGTGTGTCCGCAGTTTGATGAGACGTTCGAGTTTGACGGTAGTGTTGGGCAGGATAAGGATAAGAATTCGTCGTACACTGTGTGTCCGGAAAATGAGGGCGAGATTTGTGAATTGCACGTATCGTTTTGGCACGACGGGCCCAGTATGGGCGACGATGTGTTTCTGGGAGAGGTACGAGTTCCGTTACAAGGATTACAGCAGCAAAATGCTGCCCTTCGTAATGCATGGTGGGTAAACCCAATCATTGTGGTTAGAAGGTTACTCTAGTGCCACAGGATAGGGAAGCGTGCTGCAAAATTTTCGTATATAGGTAGCACTGTGTTTGTGACCACATCCACAATTTATCATAGAACCACAATTAATGATCGTACTCGAGACTGAGGAATCATTTTCCAACTAAATGTCCTGCTAAAAGCAGCATTTTATTTCCCTTTACACTTACTTAAGGGTCTTTGAGGGTGATCAACCCAGAAAATGTTAAAACCATATCTCATTTTTTCAAATTGTTATACAAGCTGCAATAGAAAAGCCACGTTTCACATAGGTAAATTGGTTACAACAGTTTTTGTGTACACAAACAGTAAAATTTTTAGAACAATCTATTGAACTTTTCAAATAACATTTATCTAGCACCCTGTACATATTAAATTATTTTTGTTTTATGCACATTAGCCCAGCAAACAATTTTGTAGCGTCACCCTGTCAAGAGCTATCTTCTATCCTATAAATCGATCTTTAAAATTTTATATATGTATACCTCTGTATACAGAGTGTTCATTTTAAGTCGTTACACCCGAAAATGGCAGTTAGAACTTTATGAAAACAAACAACTATTTCTATTTTTGATTTGATCCTTGGTTCTTTAAGATCTCTAAGTAATTTGTATTTATAATTATTTTTTATTTTTTCAAATAATCGCAGGGATCGATCAATTCAAAAACATTTATTGGTAACCACCCCTTCGATTTTTAAAAGTAAAAGATTTATAAAATCTCTACACTATTTAGTATATTTGTCCTAAATATTTTTTTTCAATCTATCCTTGGAGGGGGGCCATTTTGGAAATCGAAATTGAAACAAAATTGAAAAAATGTTTAGGACAAATGTAGTAGATGGTGTAGGGATTTTATAAATGATTTGCTTTCAAAAATCGATGGGGTGGTGACGAGGGTGGTGGATCAATCATTGTTTTTTTTTTAAATTTTTAATCCATTATTATTTTGTTATTTGAAAAAATAAAAAATAATTGCAAATACAAGTGTTTTAGAGAGCTGAAATATAGTTTTGAAAGTTTTTGCTTTTTTTCAATAGTCTGAACCGGGGCACCAAATCAAAAATTGGAACTAAGGGAAGTTGTTCAGTTCTAACTGCCATTTTCGGGTGTCACGACTTAGTATTAACACCATGTATACTGCAAAAAGAACAAAAGAATTTATTTCTGAATGTATTTTGCTGTTTGGACTAAAAAATGTGAATTTATTATTATTATTATTTTAATTTTTTTGTGTACATTATTCTGTACTGAATAGATGGGATGTTGATCAATAGAACAATTTTAGACAGTGCTGTCTAACGGTAACAGATTATTTATTTTTTATCAATGTGGGGGTCCTCAATCAGTGGGTTTTTTCGGTTAATTAAATTGTCGCTTGGTGTTGTTTTAAATGTTGCAATTTTCTAAAAAGATACAAAAAATTTAATTTGCATCAAAGGACCAATGTCTTGTAGCTCAGTTTTTTTTGAAAATCTCATTGTACAGATGCTGAAATGATGGCATTTTAGGACTACGCTAGCGTGAATTTATCAGATATTCACCAAAATTTATTCAAACAGGAGCGCCAATATTCCAGATTGTCCAAATTGGCTAATTTATTATTGACATTATTTCGCCTTCGAGAGTATTTTGACCATTCACACGTTACTGCATTGAGCTCTGTCCGTCTGTACTCTCATTTCTAGCTGAACCATTGGAACCAAATTATATACACATATTCTTAGACAAAAGGAAGAGCGGAAAAACTTTTGGTCAGAATCGCCAGGTGGTATCTGTGTATGTATAAATATCACCCTGCATTATACTTCAGTTAAACAGGTTGATCCATAGGAGCACGATGAACTTTTCAAGTGCTGTCATTTCAGGACTTGAAATAAAATATCATGTAAAAATAGTTCACAAAATGTATACATGCTGATCAGGAATTCCTGCCAAAAGTTTTTTTTTTTTAGTTTTCAGATCAAGAAACAGCTGCTGTTGTGTTAAATAAACAAAACACAAATAGGCACTGTACATTTTTTTTATATTGCCACATACCAGAAAATCGAAGAGAAAATCTGTAGAAAATTACAAGGGGTAGATCGCTAGTCAAAGTCATGTACCGTGGTCCGTGTGTCCTATTTTGGTTGAGACTGCAGTGTATCTCGGCTGTTTTTAAAGATATACTTGCGCTTTTCGCGAACCTTTCTCACTTTTTTGTGAGACTCACAAACAGAATCACTCTAGCTATCTTTGTTTCTAAGATACAGGGTGAATATGAAAAGTTTGACTTTTCGGCATATTATCATATTTCACTACCCATGTAGGTTAGAAAAAAGGAAAAGACTGCTTATTTTAGAGATTTTTACATAGAATTCAGTGGCGTGGTCAAAAAATGTTTGCAACACTCTATTTTAACGTAAATTTTTTTGCATTTTTTACGGTTTTTAAGTAATAGACCATGGATTTTATTCTTTAAAAGTTGCTTAAAGTTATCTTACACGTCGACATTTGATGAAATTTCTAAGTCCAAAAAACTGTGATTGCAATAGCTAACTAGTTCAAACTAGGAAGCTCAAAGTGTCAATATGTATAATTGTTTGTTGTATCATCTAGGGACAGATGGACATAAAGTCATAAACACTTTCATCAATTGCTATAAAGCTGTTAAACAGTTCCTCTTATACAACACTGCATGGCACTATTGTAACCTTTTAAATACAATGACCCTACTTATGCAGACAATTTTAAAGAAGTTCTTTCAGGTACTTTCTTCAGCCACGCTCTACGAAGGACAGGCCAATGCCTTCTTGCGCTACACCGCCCGGTACCCGTCTCTCTGTGAACAGTACCTTAGGCTCGTTACGTTTAAATGTACAGTATACAGCAGATCATGTTTTTCCTAGTTTCGTTTACGAGCCCCTCAGAAAGCTCTTACTCCAAAGTATACAATGTAGGGTGAGTACTTCGCTAACGCCCCTCCTGCATCGCTTCTAATATCTCCTTTCACAGTCCATAACTTCAAGTGCGGTGCAAGTGCTCGGAGATATCGTAACAAATAAAACTGAAATTGCACAACCGTTAGTGAGAATTTTTGTATATCATGACCAAATTGTTCCCGTAATTAGAGCGCTAGCTGAAAAGGAAATCTCTAGTTTAACGTAAGTATTAATTGAATGGTTGTGGCCTAAGTCGTTTTCGCTTTTTTAACCCAATTAGGGCAAACTTCGACATGCGATGTAATTAAATTAATCTCTATTAGGGGGAATTTTTCGTTTATGGATTTAGCAGTTTCCACTTCCTGGAAATGTGGCTTAATTCAATTTCCTAAAATGAAGTAACCGGGTATAAAAAAAGAACTTTGTACGCGGCGTTTCTTAGAAATTACACACTTTGATAATGATGCACGTATTCAGTAGCAGATGCTGGCATTTTTAAGTCGTGGTAATTTTCAGAATTTTGTGATTGTAAATTTATCTATTTTAGATGGGAGAGGAACCAACAAATTCTCTCCAATCCCACCATATCTGACATCATGACACCAAACATTACCTATTCTAAAAAGGGATTGGTACTCTGAAATTTAAGGGAGAATTTTTAACATTTGTACCCTAAACTTTGAGTATTTTACACATACTTTGTGCAAACTTCAAGTGACACTGAAATTTTAGTGAACTTTACTAATAATGTACAGGGTGTCCCATTTTCGGCACTTATGTGGTATCTCCATAATTGAAGGGGTTAATGCAAAAAGTCCCATCAGAAACAATGTAAAATGAGGCGCTTAGGTACATATTTCTGCAAATCTGAAACTACCCTTTGAAAGCTTATAAAAACGGCCAATAAATAGATGGCGGCACAAACTCAATTCAGCAAAGTAAGTCACTTGGGCACTTCTTGCATTGACCTCTTCAATTGTTAGTGCTATCAAAAAAATAATATTGGTGTCATGTGCTTTTCCTGGGCCAAACTTAAAATGGTAAAATTTCAAAATGGCCCTTATTTTCTTAGTTAGAAGAGATTCAGCAAAATGTTCTATACCAAAATTTTTTTATACCGATTGTTGAGGTAAAAAGTTATCAGAGCTAACCTAATTTTTTAAATGAACCGCTCACTAGATGTTCACTTAAAAAGACAGTACATATACTAAATTTGAGACTAAATTATTTTTTGTTAATTATTAATTAAAAAAAGATTCAAAAAAAAAATTTTAAACTCTTTTGAATTGTGTGTATCACTTGAATCTTTTTTTAAAATATCCATGGTGCGTTATATTTAATTGTTGCTAGTATTTTGAATGGGTTTTTCTGTGTATTCAGAGATAAAAGAAAGTGTGTTCTACTTAGACAAAAATTTGCGTTTTAGTCCATTATTTTGCTCTTACTTGATTTGAAAAAATCTACTTGACCATTTTGGGATTTATTGGTGACTCTGTATAGGTTAATAAACTTTTTTATTTTAGTGATCCAACAACGATATTTCGTGGCAATACATTAGTTTCTAAAATGATGGACGAGTCGATGCGTCTAATAGGCTTACAGTACCTGCATAAAACACTACGACCAACTTTAGATTTAGTATTTAACGAGAAGAAGCCATGCGAAATTGACATTACTAGAATTAAGGATACAAATCTCGCGAAAGCAAACTTAGCTAATCTAAAAGAATACGTACAGAAAATTTTTAAGGCAATAACGCAAAGCGCCGTACACTGTCCTGCTCTCATGTGCCAGATATTTCATAATTTGCGCGAATGCGCGACGTCGTACTTCCCGAACAACCGCGAGGTCCGATACTCGGTGATTTCGGGATTTATTTTTTTAAGGTTTTTCGCTCCCGCCATTCTGGGACCACGACTTTTCGATTTGACAACGGAACAAATTGTAAGTGATCCCAATCAGGACGTCTGCGCGCACGTAACTGATCCCTTTCTAGGATTGTCAAACGAATCGCACGCTGACGTTAATTTCGAAAACGATTCAATCCCTGGGAAATTTGGTTAGCTGTCGTTCGATGCAGCAAGTCTGCAAGGAGGAATATATGGAATGCGTTTACAAGGAATTTTTTACCGATCAGCATTTGCAGGCTGTACGGCAATTTTTGGAAATAATATCCGCCAGCTCCAATATTCAGACCGTAACAGTCGACACGCCAGTTATACTGAAGGAAGGGTAAGTACTCGATCAATAAAATAGTGAGACAACCCACTGATATTCTTGGGAAGCAATTAATTTAAGATAAAATTGTCACAGACATTTGATAATGTTCTTAAAATGTTCACTATTCCCTTTATCTTTGTATAGTTGTCTCTTTATACTATGGCAACCGCCACGTCGCACTTCTTTAATGTTTTGTTTACTTTATTGCCGCATTAGGGAGTTTAAAAGGTAGTGCCAACTAATTTTAATTTTTCTTCTGTTTATTTATAACATTTGTTATTTCTCAGAGCGATGATCAAAAGAGCCCAGGGTAGGAAACGGTTTGGTAGAAAAAATTTTAAGCAGCGTTATTTTAAGCTTACAACGCATGATCTCAGTTATTCGAAGACTAAAGGTTTGTTAGGACTTCTCGCAATTTGCAAATACTCACCTCGACCGTTTTTCAGGTAGGGAAGCTTTATGTCAGATTCCACTGTCTAACATTTTGGCCGTCGAGAAGTTAACAGAACGTTCGTTCAAGATGAAAAACATGTTTCAAATTGTGCAGCCAGAGCGCGCCTTATACGTACAGGCTGCCAACTGTGTAGAGGAAAAGGAGTGGATTGATTTGCTAACAAAGATCTGTCATACGAATAGTAATCGATTAGAAAAGTATCATCCGTGCGCTTTTATTAATGGTCAATGGTTGTGCTGCAAGTCTCCAAACGAGTTAGCTCCCGGTTGTAGTGCTGTCTCGTGTCCCGAAAGTAATTTGCACATGGCGCTGGATCCTGAGAGGGACTTGCAGCGGATGCACTCTCTGATAATTTCTCACATGTCCGGTATAGAAAGACTGCTAACGTCTAGAGAATGTCCATCGGTTTACGCAACAGGAAGTCGACTAACCTATAACGAAGAAGCGGATGGTGCACACAAAACATTAAAACAAATCTTAGAAGTAGCATATCAACTCGAGCAAAAACACAGGACATATCAACGCATGTTAACTAGGGAAACCAAGTATGGCAGCAAGTAAGTTTCTCATTATTTTTTTGTATTCGATTATTAATGGATTATTTACAGATCGGCACCAATCGGCGATGATAATTACTTATTAGCATCCCGAATGAATCTCGATACTGCATTATTAAGACGGCACGGACCGAGTGACGGATCGTTCTCGATATCGTGATGCATCGGTTTCGAAAATGTAAAATTTACTATGGATTTGATATTTATTTTTTCAAGACTGGTAAAAGTTTAAAGTTAAGCAATTAATGAACACCAGTGTGTGTATTCTAAAAAGAATTTGACCCCTTTGCAAGGTGTATATTTTAATAAACTTATTGATGTCAAACTTGTACATTTGGTATTCAAGAGTTACATTTATATCTTTTACAAAGTACAAAGTAATACTAAGATATATTTTTAAAAACCAGTGATAAAAGAAGTAATTTAATTTTAATAATTACCTCCTTAAGCAATAATTACTTCTATTAACAAATTATTCTTTGTACTAATACTTTTTGAACCTTTTAACACAGTGTGGGTTGGTGTACAAAAAACAAAGTATTTTTAGAAAAATCGAATTTATTTGTAAACACCGAAATTTGATTATCTGTACAAGAGGTGTGATTACCATTTAAAGAAAGTCGTTATTTTAGTATAAATTTCTACAGTGGACGCGAAATTGAGGGCATTTTAAATAGTATTTTATAACATATTGTTTATGTTAGTTATTTTTAATATTTATTTTTCTGTTTTTTATTTTTGTACTTTTCTTTCAATATAATTGGAGGTATACGAACGTACTATTTCCTAGCTAGTAGAGAATTATGTACTACACAGGTGCCATTACATTGATCTTATTTGTTTTTAAGTCCCGAGTTGCTAAGGCAAAATCACAATGTAGGCTATTTCCAATTGCTATTAGTGGCTTACGTATAAGCAATAGACCTACCTTTTACTAAATCTCTTAAAGTAATTGCATTTAACAGACTTTCTCTTTTTAAACTATTAACTGTTTTATAAGTTATTTATAACTGTTTGAAATTTGTATGTAAAATATAATTATTAAAAAAACATGTACAGACAAGAACGTTGAATAAATTATTTAATTGATTGACTATTTTGTTTCATTTAATCTTGAGCAAACTAAGGACAAGTATAAAGTTCACTTAATTTGTATGCGAACAGATAAAAGGTATACATAACCTAAAAAATAGTTCATAAGTATGTGTGTATTGCAAGTGGTTAGTAAAGAAAGAATGTGGTGACATACATAAGAACTAAGAAGGTATGTATTAATAAACCAATTTGAAAAAAAAAGGGGTTCATCGCAAAGTAAGCGGTGTGCCTAAATGATATAGGTATGTGGTGATATGGTGTGGATGCAAGGAATTTTAGTTTCAAGACTAAACTTAGGGCGTTTCATGTTGATATTCTATTTGGCATTGAATAATTTAATTGATTACATTTTAATTATATTAGTATGGTAATGTGTAATTGATAACCACGTGGGAGCTTATTTTTTTGTTCACAAGATTACCAACACACATACCACCTGCGTTCGCAGTGTAGAGAACCTTCCAACATCAATAATGGATCCGTCTCGGACCCCGTATATTCGAGTCTACGAGCAAAAAAAAGACAGGAGGGAACCCTTAGGTCATAGAATTATTATCTAAGAGTGCTTAGATCATACATCAAGAGTGAACCTACCCCTAAATTATTCAATGCCTAAATGCAGCGCGACGGAAGTGGTTTATTTAGGTGGGGGAATCTGATGTCTGCTACGCCGTAGCAGGCACTCTGAAATATGAAACGATTTTTGATACAGATTCGTCTGTAATTTTTATGAATATCGCGTAATTCGGTTTTTTGGGAAAAGTAAAATCGGCAAATAATAATTAAGGCAACTGTTTATTCATCTATTTGCAGGAAAATGCCGAATTTTGCTCACTAGTGATCAAACGCCAGTTTTGCTCACGATAAATAGAGATCAAAGCAGGAGTCACTTCTTAATTCTCAGCAACAGCTCCGATTTTAATAATTTCTTTTTAATGCGAGTTTTTGATTTGGTACTATTCAAAATCAAAAACATTCCAATTTCAGGAAATAATTTTTTATATTGTTTAAACAATAATAACAGAATTTACGCGAAAATTAATTTTAAAATTTGTTTTGCAATATTTTATGCAAATGTCAATAATTGTTTTTATTGAAAATTTAGTATCAAAGATGCCGCCCGCAGTCGTGGTTAATAGTTAGGTACTTATATTGTTTAAACAATAATAGTAACATATCTAGTACCTTATAGTACATATCATAATTTGTTGTTAATGTTTCTTACTTATTTGTATTATTTGTAAAAACACGATTATTATCAGTGATTAATTATTTACCTGAAAAACATTATAAACAAAATAAAGTCAAATTTAATATAGACCAATAAACATTTGGGAAATAAAGAAAGCATCTTGTGAGAGAGATTATTATGGGCACCACAGATACTACAACTACTTTCTCGGCGACTACTCGCGGACACGGGGAGGGTGAGCGAATCGAAGTCCTACGTCGTAGAGCGTAAGGCTACCGCAGTGGTTGCTCTTGTAGCGTCGCGTCGGCTCTGCTTGGCCTAATGGCGAGGAAATCCATAAGTTAGGCTCCTCAAGGGGCGGAATCGAATTGTAATCCCAATCCCAAAGTTCATCCTCGTCCGATGATTCATTTTCCTAGGAAATGGTTGTTGGTGCGGTGCTGTTTCATATCAAATAATGGAATCGCCCTGGAGAACACAACTTCTTCGGCTTCCTCTTCTTCCACACACCTCTTGATGCTCTGAATTTAAGTTGCCCCTATCGACTACCAAAGTTCACAGCTGACCAAACCTCTACTATTTCAAATGGGCCTGTCACGGAACGAAAAGCTTTTGTGAAATCCCAGTGGGTTTCACTTAAAACTTGGCGGACTCGGACGTATACCTTATCTCCCAAGTTAAACTTCCTTAATGTGCGGTAATGGTTCACTCTCGATTGAGGACTCTTGACCCTTTTCGGTAAGTCATTCGTAAGCCTCTGGGAGCAGCTCTCGAGGATATTCTTCGCAAATGTCGTAGAACTCCTTCGGATCAATGTCCCATTCGAACGGCGTGCTTAGCTCTCTTCCAAAGGTGAGAGAATTCGGCGAGAACCCCATTTTACTATGCACGGCGCTTCTATCGGGTCTTCCAATAGGGACTTCCGAATTTTGGCAATTGATAGCGGCCGTGTTGTTGAAGCTAAATTTGTCAAATTGGATGTTGCCCCTCAAAACCAACATAACCCAGGCCATCGACCAAATTCAGCGTAGTCATGGAAAATTGGAACTTTGGATGGGCGCCACCCCGCGGAGCCGCGGTGGTCATTTGCACAATGTTATATTCCATACATAATCGGCGTCGATAGGCCTTTCAAACTAGTAAAGAGTTTCGATGATATATCATACACAGCTCGGTTTGGTTAAATTTAAACAGCGCGTAATCAAAAACCCTTTATAAGTAGCCAGCTGCCAGGACCAAGTTAATATGCAAATCCCAATCCAAACCTCTTTGATTGACGTAACGCTTCAAACTATCGATGCAGTCGTTCGACTCCACCATCAAATGACGGTCTGTACGCGGAAGTTTGTATACTCTTAATTTCCAACATACGGCATGTTTGTTTGAACAGCGCAGGTGTGAAGTTCGTTCTTTGGTAGATCAGCAAAGTTGCGGGCGCCCCATGGCGTGGCGTGCAATAAATTGGTGAACTAATAGTAGGGCGACTGTCCGTGCTGAATAAACATTGCATTATAGAAAATCAATTTTTTCCGTACATATTGCTATTTTGTTTAAACAATATAAATAATTATTAACCACGACTACGGGAGACACTTTTGATACTAAATTTTCAATAAAAACAATTGACATTTTCATAAATATCGTGCGAAATATTTTAAAAATCAATTTTTTCCGTAAATCGTTGCTATTATTGTTTAAACAATATAAAAAATGATTTCCTGAAATCGGGATGTTTCTGATTTTAAATACCTAATACTAAGAAACACGCATTTTAAAGAAACAAGTTGTAAATCAGCATATGCATGATTAAAGCGCATTTTTGGTAATGCAGGTCAGTATTTTATTAGCGAAGTTTAAAATTATCGATCTCACGAGTAATTTTGGCTGCGTCAAATAATTAATTTTATTTAATTTCAATTGACGGTACGTACGGTACGTCTTCATTTTGTAAAACAAATCACAAAGTAAATAATAAGTTTTTATACTGGTAGCGCTATCTAACGGTAAAATTATAGCACCTCCGAAACCCATATCGAAACTATTTTCTTCAATTATCGATCTCACAAGTAATCTAACTCAAAATAGACTAGTGCCTGCACATCTACACTATAGAAGAAAGCTTTTAGTGAAAATTTGAATTCTCTAGCTATTGTAGTTGTTGAGATCTCACGCGGACAGCCGGCCTGCCAGCAATAACGAATATAATAGCGTATTTTTTCAAAAATGCGCTAAAAATTATTAAAATCGGAGCTGTTGCTGTGAGAATTAAGAAGTTTAGTCGATTTTTAGGCTTCATTGACTCGACTATAATTAATGATTCTGGAAAAATTAATTGTAAATTCTTTTTTTGGATATTACAGCGCGCACGCCACTACCGACTGACGTTGCAACTTTAAAGATATATAGCTAGCTATCGGTTCAAAAGTACCTAAACATTCCAAAAGTGGATGTAAATTGGGAATTAGCCTAGTTTTTTTTATTCTACAGTATACTCTGTATTTTGCGATTTAATATTGACAATAAATCAGTATTTCTTTTGGTACCTAAATCAATTCGTGCTGTTATTACTATAGGTGCCCTTGTATCTTGTCAATTTCATACGGGGAGAGTTAAGATAGAAATTGAATGGCTCTCAACCCCATTGGTAAGTCTAACGAAGTTTAAATGTCTAGAACGAACTACCGCTGTGGAAGATCTCAAATTATTATTTTGTTCTCCAACCCTCAGCTAGTTGTCTGTTTATGTGGCGGGTTTGAGGAACCGCAGCACGAACTCTACCAACCGTTATAGAGTGGTTTTGGTATTTTGCTTCGCATTGAAGCATGGTATTTCCATGGGAACAAGGGATTTTCACCTATGGCGACTGAAATAGTAAACAATTGGTAAAAAGTTCTCATAATTATCATACCTAATCAAGTTTTCATATTTTATGAAAAGTTAAGGATAACTTGACGATTGTCTTAATAAGCGTTGCCATAGATTTTAAGTTCGACTTATCTTTAAGCAAGGCTTAATTTTGTTAGTGCCACTGTGGGCATCATTCTCATATAAAGGGCGATTAAAAATGAGTGGCGGTCGAGTCGCCTTTGGAAGTCCAAATTAAGTACGATTTCCTATGTACAAAATATAAAATAAAATATACAAAAATTCCAAAGGTGACTCGACAGCAACTCATTTTTGATCGCATTACTTGCGTGAATGCTGCGAAATCGTGGTAATTTACTTTTAGAATAAATTCTGTGATCTACAATCTAGATAATCATACCCACGACTGGAAGAAATTTGAAGGACTTTAATTATCTTAGCGCCCAAATAAAATTCTGTGAGCATCTTATTTTTAACGCATTAAAAAAACATAGCTTATGGTCTGCTGGAATTCCTTCCGCTCTCCCGGCCATCCGATGTGAGGGTTTGATATAGGTACATAGGGTAGATAAAAGAAGGTTGTAGAAAAAATTTTTACGCGGGCGTATGCCATATGGTTTTTAAGAAATATCGAGAAACAAGTGTGGTATGCACAACTCTTGTGCAGATAGGTAATGCATTTTTTAAACCGAAAAAGCTTAGTAAATGGTTGGGTTATAAAGGTATAGTAGCATGCTATATTTATCTTTTCTTGCTAGATGATTAATGGGGAGGGGGCACATAAAGCCGCCTGGAATAGATTCAAAATCTACGCTATATAATGCAAGAAGAATCAAAACCTTAGAGAAAATCTCCTAAATATTGAATTTTCCCTTTGTAAGTAGGTATCTTCCTCCAACATTTTCGAGACATTTAAGCTTTTACATCGCCAGTAGGTAAATGCGTCTCGTCTAGACGACCTTTTCGCCGCAGAGCTGTACGAGTAACATGTAATGCATTCGGACTTTGAATATAAAATTATATTTAAAGATTCGGAGTTGATACGATGGGCACGAATCCGTTTTGGATTGTCAAAGTCCACTCTATCGTAGTTATAAAAATGGACTTGCAATCTACATTTGGTGCAAGGACCGATTACAAAGCCATCGACTCCATTCTCCTGTATGTTACAGTTGCTAAGAAAAAAGTTAAGGCAACACAAATTTGGGGCTTAACGGAGAGCAGCTTCTAAAAAACATTTTCAGTTTATTTGGGAAAAAACGTTTGTTTCGGTGTCCTCTACCACCAAAATTTTTTGACATTTAATTGCTACACCCTATAATATCGTTATTATTTCTTGTCTTGTTTTTCTCTATTTTGTTCAACTAATTTTCCTAATTTGTATTTGTCACTGCTTTCCTATTTACTTCACAAGCGTTTTGTTTGGTTTATCTCCTCTTTTCCTCAGTTCTTTTCCGTAGTTTTCCTGCGGTTTTCTGTATTCAATATTATTGTACATCCTGCTGGTGCAGTACTGCATCATTTGATCAGAACTGTAGATTTTCTTGAAGTTTCCATTTTTTCCCTGGGATTGATTAGGTTTCATTTCATTTAGAACACCGCATGCATATATCCAACACTTTGAAATATGGCCCATAGGTATCTTAAAAGACAAGTATTGATGCGATGTGACCACTCACTGACGTCGATAGGTACTTGTTGCATCTGAAGGACACCCTCACAGATTCTGTAAGTAGCACCATTGTTTAAATTACTTTTTCACATAGATTGGGCAGTCCTATATCATTTATCGTTTTTCATAGGTTACGTATGACAGCATACATACACAAATATTAATACATGATAAGTTCTTATCATTAGTTGCGTCATGGACTTGGTCTGGTGAGATTAAGGCCGTTTCGCCCTTTTCCGTGTCCCTTCTGCATAAGCAGAGGTGAAAAATCCCGCTAAATTTCGAATTTTTTTTTAATGAAAGCCTGTTAGGTAAAGATATTGGATTAACATTTAACTAGCGCTGTATTCGTTTCAGACTTTCACAATATCGCGATAAGAATTTCACTAAAATTATCTCCTTTTAATGGAAGTTCGCGTACGTTGAACGTCTAAAATGGTTCTGTGGAAGGTCGCGCGTTTGTATAAAACGTAAGTGATGAACTGTAGCAATTTGCTTTACTCTGGCCTACCTTCTTTCAGTTTTGGATGCTCTATTACGGTCCCTCACAGGTTTAGTAGCACAAAGAGACGAATAGATAAGTTATTAATTGCGAATCGAGGTGAAATAGCATGTCGTGTGATAAGAACCGCGAGACGATTGGGTGTAAAAACTGTCTCCGTTTATAGTAGTGCCGATAAAAATGCGATGCACGTGCAAATGGTAAACACCAGTTGTAACATTCCTTGCGTAAGTCACATTATTGGTAGGCCGACGAGGCGTTCCTCATTGGACCCCCAAGTTCACAAGAAAGTTACTTACGGGCCGATAAAATTTTGGACGTTGTCAAAAAATCCCAATGCCAAGCGGTACATCCTGGGTATGGTTTCCTATCGGAAAATGCCGAATTTGCCGATCAATGCAGGGAGCAAGGTATCATTTTCGTTGGACCTCCAGCTTCAGCTATCCGAGACATGGGTATAAAAAGGTTTGTACGCACCAATACGTGTCTCCCACATCTCATCATCGCACTCTTGCAGTACCTCCAAGAAAATAATGAAAGAGGCAAACGTGCCGATAATTGAGGGTTATCATGGCGATGATCAGAGTAACGAAACACTAAAAAGGGAGGCAGCCAGAATTGGTTACCCCATAATGATTAAAGCCGTGCGAGGTGGTGGTGGTAAAGGCATGAGAATCGCCCAAAGTGAAAGTGACTTTATGGAGGCGCTCGAGTCGGCACGCAGTGAAGCTCAAAAATCTTTTGGTGACTCTGTTGTTCTATTGGAGCGGTTCATAGGAGAACCTAGGCACGTAGAGGTGCAAGTATTTGCAGATTCCTACGGTGACGCCGTGCATCTGTTCGAACGCGATTGCTCGGTGCAAAGACGCCATCAAAAAATCATTGAAGAGGCTCCAGCGGTAAGGTCTTCTATTTTACGAGTACACGAATTAATCAAGCTTCGCAGCCTGGTTTGTCTGCCGAGTTAAGATCAGAATTGGGAGCCGCGGCGGTTAGAGCCGCCAAAGCAGTCGGTTACGTGGGAGCCGGTACCGTCGAGTTCATTTTAGATCGTCATTCCCATAGCTTCCACTTCATGGAAATGAACACGCGGTTGCAAGTGGAACACCCGGTAACCGAAATGATAACCGGTACCGATTTGGTGGAATGGCAAATTAAAATTGCATCAGGCGAACGTCTTCCTCTAACACAAAGTGATATAAGGCTGAATGGTCACGCTTTTGAGTCGAGAATCTATGCCGAAGATCCGGCGGGTGGTTTTCTTCCTGGAGCCGGTCCATTGAAACATTTAACCACCCCCCAGGTATCTGATGATGTGAGAGTTGAAACAGGTAAACGCGTTGCTTTTGGAAATACAATCCTTAACTGTGCAAATGTTAGGAGTGCGGCAAGGGGATGAGGTATCAGTTCACTATGATCCAATGATTGCCAAACTCGTTGTTTGGGGAAAAGACAGAGATGAAGCTTTAATGAAAATGAAATCAAATCTGGTCCACTACAATGTAAGTAAATAGTTTGGGTATATATGAATGAGCTAGCCATAGTCTTCCCCCAAGGCTTTTTATGAACTCATTTACGCTCCCTTGGTGCCTCTTTCACAACCTCCTCCGTTTTATAACGACCACAAGTGTCCCTTTCTAAAACTTGCTTAGAAGTTAGATTTCTTCTATGGATCATGAGTCGCTGTTCATTTATTATTTTTATGAACCTGCATACCGATTTTTAAGTTTTGGCTTATGTCCCTGTCACTTACTTATTTTTAAATTTTGGTTACCTGAACAATGAACTAAATAAATTGTGCCTTAAGAGACAAAAACTCATTTTAGATAGCCGGATTAGAAACAAACGTGAACTTTTTAATAAGTTTATGTAAACACAAGGAATTTGCAGCGGGAAATGTCCACACAAACTTTATCAGAGATTACCACGACAGCTTATTTCCCCAAGAGAAAATAGACGATGAGCAAAAAATCCAAGCCGCCGTCGCTTTAAGTTTGTTGGAAAGTGAAGCTGGCGATATCGGCGAGAGCAATAGCCCATTCGTTCTCGAATCAAATTTTAGAGTTAATCATTTCCATCAAAGGACCGTGAAGCTGTTTTTCAAAGATAAGGGTGAGAAATTGCGGATGAAGTGCTCGTGTTTAATGACGTGTGTTTCAGAATTCAACGCAATGTTAAAAATGTTAGGTAGAAATAAGTATTCAGTGTCGTTGGATGATGGGGAGACGTGGCATTCGGTGGAAGGTGAAATTGGAACGGGAGGGTCGCTGAAATGCAGCATCAACGGGTTCGTTACAAACGCAAAGCTCTATCATGACGGAAAGACTTTAGCTCTATTCAATGACGTAAGCTTTTAGAACTAAGAATTCGTCAAATTGCCTTTTGTATTTCTCAGGACGGCAAGTTGGAGTTCAAACTGCCTCAAACCAAATTTTCAACTGATGATGGCGATTCGGTGCTTGGTTTTGGTAATGTAGCCCTGGCGCCAATGCCAGGAATACTAGACAAAATCCTTGTGAAAATTGGAGACAGTGTGAAAAAAGGGGAGCCGGTAGCAGTATTAATTGCAATGAAAATGGAGTTTATAGTTCGAGCGCATAAAGATCTGAAAGTGAGCGACATTCTACACAAAGTCGGTGATAATGTTCAAAAGGATACTGTTCTTGTGCAATTTGAAACAACGGAATAATTTTGGCAGCAACAGAAAGGCATTTTGTTAATAAAGTTTTACGTTTACCTCAGTTTCTTCCATTTTTTCCCTTAACTTGGCATTTTACAGTACAGCTGTAGTAGTTTGAGTATGATTATATAGTCTGGTATTATAGACATTGAGATTAAGGTGTTCGGAAACAATCCATTATATTCAATTGAGAAAAATGTAAAAAGAACACTCCTCAGTTTTATTGCTTAGATCTTTGGGGCGCTATTAACAAAAAGAGAGTTGCTTAAAATGTTATTTGTAGGGGTATTTTTGTGTCACCAAGGTACGGAAAGTACCTACGCGTTTGGACTGGCTGTCAAAACAGTGAACTTCACTGAAGTTATGATTCGTGTTCGATGAACAATACAATTTAGCATTTTTCAAGCGGAAACGTCGTCAAGACGTCTTTATATATAAACGGTAGAGACCATGGGCGGAAAAAACTGTAGAAACATTGAGTTATTGCATCCTGCATAGTCCAAATATTCTATTGGGCACTCTTAAATTTTGCGGGCAGGTAATGAAGAGTTATTTTACTAAATAAAAAAACAACGTTGACGTTGCCTGGTTTTGAAAGGCGATTGATGATTTGAATCAGCAACAAACTGGGCTTCATGTTTTTCCAAGTTTAGTAGTTGACATTTAGTTGATTCACTGGAATACGGCTCCAATGACACCAACTCGCCACTTCCTCCGAATCTCGAATCATAATGTAATTGTTGGGATTCGGTTTCTCAAATGCTCCATAGTTGGTCAGGTTTTATCCTTCATAACATTTGTGAAGTCTTTGTGGGTAGGTATTGATTGAAATATACTCCAGCTGCAGCATCAGAATTATTATTAGGTTAAATAAAACACTCGAACATATTTCTCGGAACTGTCGAAAGCCATATTTTCGCGATTACGAGAAACAAGTATAAGTGTGCACAACTATTGTGCAGATAAAGCGCATTTTTTAAACCAAATTAGCTTAGTAAATAGTTGCGTTATAACAACAATGGAAAAAGAATCAAGACCTTGGAGAAATTCTCAGAAATATTGCATTTTCCCTTTGTAGATAGATGCCTTTCTCCAACATTTTCGTGAGTCACTATTAAGTTTTCAGATCGCTAGTAGGATGTCTCCCTTTGAGAGTACCTACTCTCCTACACACCGTTCTGCAGATATTTGCACTGACAGTTTTGACATCACCAGTAGTTGTGTCTCCTTTTGAGTGAGATAGGTATGTTTCCTCCAGACGATTCATTTTGCCTTTGTGAGTACTGCCCTCCGACAAACCGTTTTGGAGAAGAAGGGCGGTAGTTGGTAGAAAACAGTTCCTTGAGTTGAGACCTTTAATTAGAATACCATGAAAGATAAAATCACTTCCTCCCCGTCATCCACGGATCTCGAAAAAGGAAAAGGAGTCGCGCAAGAGAGTTATAGAGAACCTTGGTCTTGTTTTTATGTTGTTACCACCTATCATTAATCTTTTAAATTTCCTTACCGCCTTTTCTAATAATGTTTCAGCATAGACGTTGAAAAGCACCGGTGACACTTCACTTCTCTTCAATCTTCACCTCTTCAATCTTCAGTTTCTTTCTCATTCACTCTGACCGCCACCTTCTGGTTTTTATAAAGCTCTCTCAACAGTCACTTTGTCAAATGCTTTCTTTGAATCTATGAAGCCTTTGACGTCCGTCATTTTTAGACAACCAATGGTGTCTCTTTTCTCTCGTCAACATTAGGAAACGGAATTTTGCCTGATGGTAGACAATGAAAAACGGTAGCTAGTCAATAACCCACGAAACTTCATCAGGCGCCCGTCTCTAAATATTTTAATTATTTTTGCAGCCTTCGAAAACTCCCGTCATTTAGAAGACGAGATTTGACCCGAGAATTACAATCAATAACGGATCTTAACTGGAGTACCAAATATTAGAATTTCAACTCTGCCAATTTTCATTATTTCATTCATTATTTCATTAAGTAATAATGATTGCCGGTAGCTAATCAGATATGTTGCAGCATGTGTCTGGTATCAAATGAAGCGCGCTTAATTACCATAAATTTTAAGCTTTTTTCCAGATTTTTGGGATAACAATTAACCGATCAATTAATTAAACATGTTTTAATTTTTGAACGTTATCACCCAAGTTCGCTGAGCTTTTTGGGAAACCCAGCGTTCCCTTCCTGACAGTGCCGAAATTTATAAAAGGGACGAATATAATTTACAGGGGATCCTTTTGCTTGTGCTTCAGGATAACGTGTGTATTTAGGCGTGTACCAAATAATTTTACATATTACAAAATAAAGCTTTTGTGAATATTTCTCTTGTTCACAGCTTATTCGGCAAAGATCACACGATAAACTACGTGACTATTTCACATAGTAGTGGCATACCACATATATTTATGCATTTATGGTCTATTCTCCTAGATCGAAAATTTACATTTTAAATATGTTTGACGTGAACCACACATCTACATAATATAAGCCCGTTAAAATTCTACACCAAACATCCATTATTTTATTTAAATACAAAACGCGATTCTTCTTATTAAACAATTAAACATTATTATCCGTGTGATGGTATTGAGTGCGGTGATCTAGTCTTACCCCTTTGAGCCCATTAATACAAGCAAATAGGAAAAACATGCAAATTATAAGATCTTCAAGATTATTTATTGCATGCTCTAGTGTAAACTAAATTACTTAAATTTAGAAGGTGCCGAATAAACTATTGTCGAGACTATTGTAGTTCAGGTGAAGATGAAGCTACTCGTAGTATTCACTTTATTCGTTGCAGTCTACACGAAAAAGGTAGGTATATCTAGATTCTAGATGAAATAAAATTGCCATTACCTTACCTCTTTCGTAGCTATCACCCGAAGTTATAAAGGTATGGGAGGGTATAGTTGCACCATTATACGATGATTGTGTCAAAATAACTAACGTAGATCCAGAAATACCAAAAACTATGTTTGAACTGGAGGATTTACCAAACGCAGATTCCTTCATTTGCTACATGAAATGCATCTATGATAAGTTGTCATTTTTGAAACCGAATGGCGAACTGGATCAAGACCAAATGCTAAAAGTCATCTATACGTTAAAACTAGAGGAACTCCAAAAATGTATTGCTGACACGCCAAAGTCAACAGATTTGTGCAAGAACACGCATGATATCGCCGCCTGTATTATACATCGTGTTGAAAATGATTAGAACTATGTCTGATTCGCTCTGTACAATACTAGATACCTATACATGTAATCGAATATCAATCAATTTATGTAGATATGTAGGGTAATATATGAGACAATCCTTTCAGTCATCAGCAGCTTGCAATCACTTTTATTTAGTAGTGTCACAGATTTATTGTAGTTAATCTGTGGTAGAGTAAATGGTGTTATCCTTTTCGATACTGTTATTTCCTTTTTAAAATTTTAAAACCAATAAAAAGAGTTTAGTACGATTACGCACCCCCTCCGAGGAAGTATGAAATTGATCTTAAGAGTTACTGATGTATATGATAATAATAATAATAATAATAATAAACTTTATTCGTGTAGTATTATCTGCTATACCTACTATAAACGCCAAAGGATTAAATTAGAATCCACCCTACGGTAAATTACAGTTAATTAATTTGACTTTGTTGGCGGTTCAACGCACATTTCCTAACGGTTCTCCTAAAACAGCCAACTTCCCACTACTTTACTTTTTCAATTGACACCCATCTCATGACGCTAACCTTTTTCACCAATAAACTAATTTTATTTATCCAATCAGATTACTTGGCTGTCAAATCGACTCAACGTGGAATAATTTCTAGGCGTAACGTAAGCGCCGTAATAGCACAGATTTAAGTATATTTAAATCTGTGGTAATAGATTGCACGAAATTCATCGCTCAGCTTTCAAGGTCAATCGTGTGTAATGTGTGCGCCATTTTTTCATTTTTAATTGAAAGTTAGAACGGAAAGCTGTATAACTGCGGTATATAAAACAATCGTTAACCGAACCTGTGCCGCTAGTTTTTGAGTTATTGTCGTGGGCGCTTTAATTCTGAACTGCAATTTCTAATAAAACCAGTAATAAGACGCATTTATTATGCGACAAGATGAACTTCGTCGTGTAATGAAAATTAATGGAAGGCGGATTTATGTTCAAGTTTCAAGTTTGTAAATCAAAACTGCCCACCTCTCTTGTGTATACAGGGGTGTTAATAGATCTACATTAAATCACATCTGGTAAAAAGTTTAAAGACAATTAATTCGTGCGTTTGCTACATGTTAAACCCTAAGTTATAAGGAAATTGTTTTGACATCCTCCTAATGCGGAACCACGATCGTATGCGGAACATTGGTCAATTAATCCAATGAACAAAAAGCTGAATCCCAGTTTGTTCCGGATTCTAATAAATTGTTAGACAACTTTCGAGATCAAGGTCATTTTATTTCAAAGGTTACTTGGTAACTATGTGGGCGGAAGCGGGAGGGACGGAATGTATACGTCATCGAGAATTCAGACATTGACGTTCGACGTTGTTTGTAGTCGCGCGGGTGCTTATTTTTCTTGAGTTATAGTTTATTTGTTTAAAATTTGTTGAATTTTGAAGTGCATAAGGACATGTATTAGCTGTAGATACCTGTTTGGTGCTATAATAAAGACATTTAGTTTGTGAATTTTGTGGAATTTCATAGCCGTGATTGAAAGGTTAGTTCATCAATTATGCACTTTTGTATGTTATAATTAAGTATTTTTTTAGATGAGTGGCGGTAACACTAAAATTCTTCATCCTGGTGTAAACAAAATCTCGGTTTTTACGTTTCCCAAAGACCCTACCGTTCTTAAAGAATGGGTAAGAAAATGGTGCACATCCGGCAGCAAACTAAAATGTGCTGCGCCCTCATTGGTCAAAACGGCCAACCGATGAAAGCGTAGCGTCCCTGGCCGCAAACGTTTAAAAGCAGAACCACGAACTCTGCAAAGTGCAACGCAATTTCTGCTTCGACTGCACTTCAAGAAACAAAAAGCTCTTCACCTGCAGAACCAGGTCGCCTTGCCAGCTCGACCTCGCGCCACACTCCATCAGTCAAAAGACCTGCATCTGGGCTCACTCCAACGACAGAGCTCACCGTGTGCACCTCGGTTACCATTTTGTACATACCATAAATATACATATTCCATAAAACGCAACTGCATTTTATTTGGCGTCATCCGCTAAGGAATGTTTAGAGTTTTAATTCCCAAAGCCTATGTATTAATACATACGGGTGGTTCCTATTTTGTAGAACGCGGAATTTCATCCATTTCCACCTCTAAAATGAATTTGATTACATTTTCACAAGTCCTCGTGCAATGTTTTCAAAGATGGAAGTCGATAAACTTCCAAGATTTCCAATATAAGATCCACCCTTATATACATATACCCATATAAATCCAAAAATATACTGCAGAAACTAAATTTTTTACCCCTTTTATTAGCATTGTAACCTATGAGCAATTTTAAATGTGTATTCTGGATGACGTTTTCCCGCCTTCAAAATGCAAGCATTCTATTGGTTTAGAGTTACGAGACAACCTTTCTAATAAAACAACCTTCTTTCGAGATTCCCTTTCGACGAGCAGTCAAGTTTACCAGGAAAGTGCGATTATATTGCACAACGTCACACCATTGAATTTATAACTATTATAAATTCAATGGTCACACCATCCAATTATCTGAATTTCACTTTGAACATTGATAAATGTAAGCCATTTTGAAGTCGATAGTTTTGAGAATTTTGTATAAAAGATTTTTTTTATATCGCTGTGAATTTAATTTTGATTATGTTTCGTTATTTTCCTAGATCGAGGATTTACAATTTAAATATGTTGATGTGAACCACGTACGCACGTACATCAATATATCAATTATGTTATTTAAATACAATACCTGAGATGTCTTGAATGAGAACCCTTTCAAGCAAATGGGAAAAAATGCAAATCATAAGCCGTATAAGATAATTTATATCGTTGTAAGTGCGTTTACAATTAGTTTTATTTAGACGATAACCAATAAAAAAATGCAGCTCATCATGAAGTTGTTCTTCTTATACCTCTCCCTCTTTGGAGTGCACACGAAGAAGGTACTTAGGTAGATTAAATTACAGTTGATTTTTAAGGCATGTTTGTAGCTAACGCCAGAAGTTATAAAAGTATGGGAGGGTGTAGTCGCACCTTATTTCGACGATTGTGTCAAAATGACGAACGTTGATCCAGAGATACCAAGAACTATGTTTGAGCTGGAGGATTTGCCAACCGCAGAATCTTTCGCTTGTTACATGAAATGCATTTTCGAAAAAATGTCATTTTTCAACTCGAATAACGAACTGGATCAAGACCAAATGCTAAAATCGATTTATATGTTAAAACCAGGAGAACTCCAGAGATGCATGGCTGAATCAGCAAACCAAACAAATGTATGCAAGAAAACACACGATATCAGCGCCTGTATTATACATCGCGTTGAAAATGATTAAGATATTTTCTATGCGTTTAAATTATGGTTTCGTTTTAGTACTATATTTCTTTAATGTCATAGTATATAGATCTGAGAAACTTTCTTTTCAAATGCTAATTCAGTACTCTGATGTAGTTACCTAGAATTATAATAAATAATTGTTTTTTCCAGCATATATTGCCTTTTGAACAAACAAGTTGTAAATCAGCATATGCATGATTAAAGCGCATTTTTGGTAATACAGGTCAGTATTTGATTAGCGAAGTTTAAAATTATCGATCTCACGAGTAATTTTGGCTGCGTTAAATAATTTAATTTTATTTAATTTCAATTGAGTGTACGTCTTTATTTTGTAAAACAAATCACAAAGTAAATACAATTTTTATACTGGTAGCGCTATCTAACGGTAAAATTATAGCACCTCCGAATACCATATCGAAATTATTTTCTTAAATTATCGATCTCACAAGTAATCTAACTCAAAATAGACTAGAGCCTGCACATCTACACTATAGCAGAAAGCTTTTAGTGAAAATGTGAAGTCTCTAGCTATTGTAGTTGCGGAGATCTGACCCGGACAGCCGGCCGGCCAGCCATAACGAATATAATAGCGTATTTTTTTCAAAAATGCGCTAAAAATATATTACGGCAAATCTTATGACGCCGACGGACGGATAAATAAATAAATTTTCTTGTATCATAACAATTTGTTGAATGAAAATAAGTATTTTGTTTTGCTGGCAACAATTACTCAAATTACTTACTTTTGCATTCAATGTTTTCATCAGTGAGCGATTATGATTGGGATAGTGAGAAATACGCTACATACGGAACAAAATACCTTTAAGTATTTTCTGCTTACTTTCAATAAAATATGTTTTACACACTCTATTAAAGAGAACCGATCGTCATTTTTATACAAATCAAGAAAAATTACAGTACCTTTACATATAGTGCTCCCTGGACACGATGGTTTTCTTACAGTACAAAATTGTACTTCCCTTATTCGAGTGAGAATGGATAATATAGGATGGATCTCCTTAAATACGACTGCCCGGGCTTTTCTGGGTTTCCTGCTCCCTTTTCGTGTGCAAATAATCGGGTAATGAACTTCTATTAAAGTCTGCTACTAAACCGCAGTCTGCTCTCACAATGTAAGTTATTGTTATGGCGCAAAAAACAATTTATGACTTGTAATTTCTTTTATGATAGTCTCTTCTGAGCTAAGTCCCCAAAACATTCGTGCGTTTTTTCAAATTCGACCACACGCAACCTTTCGAACGTGGACACAACAAAACAGTCACAACACTTTTCTCACAAAATGTTTGAAAATATTTGAAATTTTAAGATCCTTTGTGTGTCAACGGTTTTCGGATATAAATTCTTTTCAAAAATTACTACCCCTAATTGTTTATCCCTGCCCTATTATAGCTAGAAATGGTCGCTGGATTCCACGATTCTGCCTGGATGGTCGTCCGCGTAGACAGTCAGGGGGGGTGTCTCGTGTCTTCGGCATGTCCCGTACGTACAGAGAGAACAGCAACCATTGGGGTACTCCGGACGTTGCTTAGCGCTCACGCAATTTGCATCCCTTCAATGTATTTGAGGTATAATGCAACAATCTGGACCGTGGGTAAGGGGACTAAGGGGAGACCTGATTCCGATTATTTTCCACCCACAATCCACAGCAGCACGTTGTGCGTAACATTAAAATTTGGGATTATAAAAATAAGCCCATTGAAAACTGATTAAACTTCCAGAAAACATCAACCCCACCCACAACAATATAAATAAACTGTACATAAAACACACACACAAGATATCTGTACTTGATTTGCCGGTGAGTCGTTAGTACTTATACAATTTAGTAGGTTATTACATTGACAAAACTGTACATTACTAACAATACAACAGCTTCCAAGCAATCAACTAAAAAAAGGTGCATCCAAATTCTTCAAAACGTAATCTCTCAAGCGTAATCTTAAGTACGAGATGGTTTCAATTAACCACGGGGTTCAGCCCCCAATTCGACATGCACTAGAATCCGCAACGTTCTGTTAACAACAATTTTAAGTGAAGCTTCCTAATCTCGGCCAATAGTGCAAAGTTCGTCACCTGCGTGTGATCGAAACCAACAAAAACAAAACCTAGCTGAAATATACGGTCGTTCGCCGAATCTACAGACAACAAGAACGGCTTGACTGACTCGACAATCCCCAATCCGTTTTCTGCAATCCAACCAAATGGATGTCCCAATATCTAACCAATTTCACATTATGCAACAACTTTCAAGTGCCAACCAAATTAATAAATTACCATCTTAGAGGTATATTGCATCCAACCGTCATAGCGTCTCTCCTCGGCTGGGCCCTGCAGCCACCTCAGATCACCGCTTCCGCTACTTTGGCAATCGTCAACAGCAGGGTGATCGGGCGGTAGTTCTGTGGGAACGTCGTGAACTGGACCGGTTTCTGTAACATAATTATGTCGGCACGTTTCCACCGAGATGGAAAGTGCCGCAGTCTGAGTATCGTGTTAGAAATAAAAGCGAGAAATCTTGCGGCATGTTGATGGAGTACCTTGAACACCTTGTTCCGAATTCCGTCCGGTTCTGGCGCCCTTCTCGGGTTGGTCTTTTTGATGGCGTCGGAAAATTCTTCTTCGGTCGTACGGTTGGCCACCCCGCTTATTTGTCGACGCAGGGATCTCTCTGACCCTTCGGTTGCCGGTGTCGATAAAGTCTAGATCCGCGCTTTTTAGCAGTTGGGAAAAAACTGACGTTCTACATACTCCGTCGGCCTAATCGGCGTCCGTATACACCAGTCCTCCGACTCAAGAATATCGCAGGCGGTTTTCCCAGGACTCATTTCTGAAGTCGCGGACGGTGGTTTTGAAGTCTTTGGGACTCGGCTCCGTCTAACGGATCCCATGAACGCTAGAAGCGCGCTCTGGATCAGTTCGAGTTCTGAATTAGGCGACGGGTCAAAAAGCTTTTGAAAGCGCGAAGTTAAATATTAAGTCACGCCCCAGGAGTCTGTAGTCGGTCCGTGCGTTCCAAATCGTATTCATGTCAAGGGGGGCGGAACCAAACCCATTCTACATCGGAGCGGCGACGAAAAAGCATCTAGAAATCCTCGTGCACAAACACTCGATGTATTTATGAACGTTTTAGTTTAATCTCGTTGTAGGTTTTGCAGCTTTCTGTCGTATCTCCATTTTTTGTTGTTTGCCTCGTCGTATACTTATTGGAGATTTCATACTCAAGCGATACTTAATTTTGTGTAATTATGTAATAGCGATTTATCCACTTACTTGCGGTTTGCATTAAGTTGGTGTCTTTGTGGACCCCACTTGCTTGTTAAGTTTTAGAGCTGCGCCTGAAATTTCTTAATATATGAACGTATTGCAGTTCGCTTTATTTTTATTGAACAGGATAATACAATTGATTTTTTTTAGCACCTGACGGTCACCCATTGTACATTGAATTTAGTTCAGGTACCTATAAATAAAGTTGAATATTTCCGATCAATCCAAACTGTGTTCTTGTGAATGAATGTGGTTTAGTCATTTACTTTACAGGATTGTTTCACTTCAAACCTCCATTTATTAGTATCTCTGTTTATGCATTTTAAAACAATGCTGGTATGTTATTTTCTTGCAGTAACGGCATGCCATAAAGCAAATAAGTATCGTTTCGTAATTGAATAAAGATTATTGAGTTATTATTATTTATCCCTTTACCATTTCCTTAAGAGGTCAGAAGATGTACTATTCAGCGCGCATTACAGATTTTTTTATTACCTAACAAGAATATGTATAGGTATAATAATAATATTTAAATATAATTATTATAATTATAATATTTATAAGATGTATGAAAAATAGTTAGAGGTAAGATAGAGTAGAAGAATTATTTTGTAAGATCCGTTACATCTCAGAGGGCGGTTTTATGGGAGAATACTCCAGGTAACGAATATACCTTGTGATGAATGTTATAGGAGTAATAATATTCCAGAGTGGCCTTCTCCAATTAATATTGCAGTTCCCGAAATTTGTAAAGTTTAGGAGTCAAGTTGGATAGACATCGTTAGGGAAAAGATCTGTTTGTAAGTTTATATTTTACCATTGACGAAATGGTGCCGTCTGTTGCATAACGAAGTAATTGTAAAACTTATTGACATTACGTCACTGGTAATTAAACATGTTTTTATTGATGTAATTAGGAAACTAAATTAATGGGAATCATTCTATGGTATTTCCACCCATCGGTTACGATTAACATCACCCAGTTTAGAGACTAATTTGTATGTCTCAATCTTTATCCGCGTGCGAATGTTGACTATTTTGGCTTTAGTTACAACATAAGTGTAAAGTAATAAATATTCCTAATGTTTGAATTGGATACGTGCAAATCGGTTTACTTACAATAGTGAGAATTTATTTAGAGCTAGCAGACAAATGAGAAAACAATTCAATATATTCTTGAGACTTTTTAAAATTATCACCATGGCCATTTGGTTTAAAACTAGGTCCATTGTGTAGAAATGGTTTATAAAGGCTTGCGCCGTAACTGTATGAACAACTTGGGTGAAGATGAAGCTATTATTATTATGTTTTCTTTTCATTGCGGTACATGGAAAAAAGGTAACTATGGTTAGGTAAGTACACCCAAATTTTTTAATTGACTTTTTTTAGCTACCACCGGAAATTACAAATGCTTGGATGAGAATAGTGACGCCTATTTACGATGACTGTGTGAAAATAACGAACGTACTTCCCGAAATTCCAAAAACGATGTTTGAACAGGACGAGTTACCGAAAGATAAATCCTTCGCTTGTTACATGAAATGCGTTTATGAAAAACTGTCGTTTCTAAAGTCAAATAACGAATTTGATAAAGAGGAGATGGTAAAGGAAATTTATATGTTAACTCCAGCGATGGCGCAATTATGTGTTGACGAATCAGCCATGGAACCAGATATGTGCAAGAAAATAAATATTATAGTCGGGTGTATTGCTAGAGAAGTAGTATAAGTATTTAGATACCATATAAAATATGTAGATCTCGGTATGATTAATAAACCATAGACACACGCTCCTTGTTTTCTTATTGACACTCATTTGACTTCTGCACGTAGCTGGTCAGTTTGACCCAAGTGGTGAAATACAGTCGTGTACCTACCTACTCGTC